TTTTTTTTTTTTTTTTTTTTTTTTTTTTTGGGTCAAACTCCATGTCTATAAGTCTTTTTCCCTTTCTTATAAGACTATCTAAAAAATCACAGTAAAAGAAAATGTGTTTCATATATTTGAAGTAATGCAAGTTATAATGTGAACCTCTTCTAATACGCAGTTCGAAATTTCCATGATGGAATAATCTAGTCTTCATAATGCAAGATACATTAATTTAAGAAAACTAGATTAGTTTTTGTGAATATTTTTAAACCTGATTAGGTAACCAAATAAAAAAATACTTTCGAATAACGAGTCAATATAGTTCGACCAAGTTTAATTTAGTTCAACTGAATTTTAAACATAAAATAAAAATTAGAACTAAATATATGATAAAAGTAATATAAGTAAATAAAAAATATCTTATAGAATAGTTTAGTCAACCAAATTGGTGGTGAAGTGGCAACATCACCAACTTTTTTTGATGGAATCTAAATTATTTAATTCTTTTTTGAACAATTTATTATTTGGATGGTTCTTAGTTTTAATATTTGAATGGAGCCAATAATTACTTGGTTCAGACCAAATTTTATTTAATTTTTAATTAAATAGATTTTAAACAAATAGTTTTTCGTTTGATTTTCTTTATTTTAAAAAAAATTAATAACTAATCGTGAGTCTTCACGTGTTATAGGACCCACGGAATAGTGACAATACATGTTCATCACAGCAAAATTGCATGATACAGATTCATGACTTTGTCTTTACTATATTAGTTTTTTTTTGAGGAAATGTGTGAATCCTTCCTCTCATCATTTGATGAAAATGCTCTTATAAACACTAAGCTACTTAGTTTCATTTCTCCTTTAGAAATGATTATTAAGGTGAAATCACTTTTTGAAACCGTTTCTTATACAAAAAATAGTAGCTATGTTGCATTAAGCTAATCTCATATATTCTATGTTCCATTAGGCTAAATATTTTTAAAATGAAAATAATACCTTTAATTTAAATATAAATTCGAAATTACAATTAAAAATATATAGTTAAATATTAAAATATAATAAATAATTAAAATGCTGTAAAAATAAGATAAATAAATAACTAAAGTAACTAAAATAAAAGAAAATATTTAAAAATAAAATGCTGGAAAATAAGAAAAAAAATTAAAATGTTGTCAAAAAATAATAAATAATTAATTAAAGTAATTAAAATATACATTTTTAACATTTTCTGAAAAATTGATTTTTAATATATAGAAAAAGAATATTTCCAAATATTTTCTTGCAATGTTTTCGAAAGTAATTGTCCTTATCCGTAGAATATGTATTCTGCTATATGTAGAATACAATAATAATATTTAAAATCAATTTCTACAAGTTTTAGATTTATAATAATATGTAGTTCTGATTTCTATTGATTGTAGATTTATAAGTAATATGTAGATTCTGATTTCTAATTATTTTAGAGGAATATGTTAAGAGCGGAATGTGTATTCCAAATAATTTTGGAATAGTATTATTTACATAGAATATATATTTTGATTGTAGTAGATTCAACGAAAGAAATAGATTTCATATACTATTTTGTAGATATCAATTCTACTTTGTGTAGAACATAATCAAAAATTACTATTTAGACATTTTTAGAACTTGAAAATATCATTAAATTGCTGTATGTATTTCATCCGTAATTACTATTTTTCCAATTTTTTTTGTAAAAATATTTATTTTCAAAAACACTAAAGGGAATTAGCGGCAAAAATGATACAAAATAGAAATTAACCTAATGGGACATAATTACCATATTTTGGAAAAATAATTATCCTTTTTTGAGTATTCAGATGTTGTTGAGATTAAGAAGGTAATAACTTGTGTATTATTAAGCTCACACGACCCCATATATATATGGGTCTACAAACCGCCTGAAAAGGCTGGGATAAACATAAGCCTAATAAGATAATGATTAAAAGTAAAGAGATAATCATAAACCTATAAGGTTTATGATAACTACTACAATATCTAGGATAATAACAAAGGGGCCGAGTGGATAAGGATGAGTATGCTGGCCGCCTGGTCTAGTAGTGGAGTGACACTGAAGTAGATTGAAGTAGACTGAAGTATACTGAAGTGAACTGAGCTTGGTCCATTTCCATTTCCAGGATATGTCCCAACCATCATTTCTTAACACTCCCCCTTGGTTGATATATCATGCCAAGGTTTATTCCATGCTTTGGATGTTGCCTCATTAAAACCTCTGCTGGTAAAACCCAAAACCCAATGTGGTAAAAAGGGAAGACCAAGGACAGGACAAAAGAGTACAACACATGGAACTCCCCCTGATGGATGCATCACTGAAGGTCCTTCAGCTAGCGCATCCCAATCTGATGGATGAGCTTCCTGAAGGTTGTAGTTGGCAAAGACTTGGTGAAGAGATCAGCTGAGTTCTCACTTGAACCGACTTGCACGACTTGAACTTCACCGGCCTTCTGTAGATCATGTGTGAAGAAGAACTTAGGCAGTATGTGCTTGGTTCTGTCACCTTTGATGTATCCATCCTGGAGCTGTGCAATGCAGGCTGCATTGTCCTCATAAATCACCAGTGCTTCGTCGAGGTTCCTGGTCATTCCACATGTGGCCTGGACGTGCTTGGTCATGGCCCGGATCCAGACACTCTCATGGCTGGCCTCATGTATGGCCAGGATCTCGGCATGGTTGGACGATGTGGCTGTCATGGTTTGCTTAATGGACCGCCAAGCCACTGCTGTTCCACCATGAGTATAGACATAACCAGTCTAAGATCTACCACAATGAGGATCAGATAAGTACCCTGCATCAGCAAAAAAAACTAAACCATCCTTAGTTTGGTTAGTATAAAATAAACTCAAATCCTTCGTTCCTTGCAAATAACGAAGTAATTTTTATCCCATTCCAGTGCCTGAGGGTTGGACAAGAACTGTATCTTGATAGTAAGCTCACAGCAAAGCTGATATCTGGGCGAGTATAACAAGCCAAATACATTAGAGCTCCTATGGCACTGAGATATGGCACTTCTGGACCAAGAACATCCTCATTGTCCTTCTTTGGACCAAACGGATCAGTGTCTGGTTCCAAGCTTCTCACGACCATGGGATAAGTCAATGGGTGAGATTTGTCCATATTAAACTTCTTGATTACGTTTTCTGTATATGCCATTTGATGCACAAGGATTCCATCATTCACATAATCAAGTTGTAAGCCCAAACAGAATTTTTTTTTTTCCAAGATCCTTCATCTCGAATTCTTTCTTTAAGTATTCCACTGTTTGGGAAATCTCTCCAGAGGTTCCTAGGATATTGAGATCATCTACATAGACTGCAATGATCACAAAACCTTTCTTGAACTTCTTTATGAATATGAAAGGACAATTGGTCGTTCTTACAACCCTCCTTAATGAGGTACTCAGACAATCTGTTGTACCACATTCTACCAGATTGTTTTAATCCATAAAGAGCCTTGTTCAATTTAATACAATGTTGTTCTCGAGAACATCCTTTCTTTTTCATTTCAATACCATCTGGGATTTTCATATAGATTTCATTATCCAGTGGACCATACAAGTAGGCTGTGACCACATCCATCAGCCTTAAATCTAGACCTTCCTTTACTGCCAGACTTATTAAAAATCTGAAGGTCGTAGCATCCACCAAAGGGGAATAAGTTTCCTCATAATCTATTCCTGGTCTCTGTGAGAATCCTTGTGCAACAAGTCGTGCCTTATACCTCACAACTTCCCTTTTCTCATTTCTTTTCCTCACAAAGACCCACTTGTATCCAACTGGTTTTATGGTTTTAGGTGTTTTGATAATTGGCCCAAACACACCTCTTTTCCTTAATGATTCCAACTCCACGTTTATGGCCTCTTTCCATTTCAACCAATCTGGTCGTTGCATACAATCATGTATGGACGTGGGTTCATGATCCTCATTATCCATAAGTTCAAGTGCTATATTATAAGCAAATATATCATCGACCTCGATTTCTCTACGGTTCCATCTAGTTCCAGACATGACATAGTTTATAGAGATCTCATGATTGTCAGGACCATGTGTACCATGAGGTCCAGCGTCCCGGACCACATTCATTGGTACAGTCGGCACGTCCGGCCCACTTGGCTCGTCCGGCCTTGGTGGCCCATTCGGTTATGTGCTCACAAACGGCCAACTTGGCCCGTCCGGCTTCCCAGACACGAATGGCCTGCTTGGCCCGTCTGGCTCCCTTTGCTCAGACGGCAA